TATTTCACATGAGCATTAAAAAATACATTAATGAAAGTACTTCCCATCACTTGTAAAACGCTACGAATTAATTCCAACACTATATATATATATATAATACATTATATATATCTAGGAATATTATCAATCGATATATTTATAGAATTAATTAGATTAAAAAGAATAATTGAAAAGAATAATTTAATACTAAGTATTTAATTAAAATTAGCTTTAAAAGTAACAATAAGAATATACAATATACAAAAAAAATATTTTTTCATAATAACTAAATACATTCTGCGATATTACAATAACTCAGAAATATGATGGAATCTTGCAATCATTTTGGATACAAATACAAATCTTTACATTTTGCCGATACTTGTATGCATATTCCACAAGTCCTATACACATTCACACACATACACACACGTCGAAAATTATTCTTCATCAATGATGCGTAATTTACGACAGGCAGCGATGGCCATATATTCCTTTTTGAAGGTTTGATACTTCGGAGTAATGGTCAATATGTCATTAGGATTGAATAATGCGAGAAAAAAAAGGAAACGCCTGAGGTTAATGCGTTCTAATGAGCCTCCGCTTCTAGCACTGCGTTCATTAATCTTCGACTCGCGGATGGACAACCGGTCTTCTTCCCTGGGAGGTCTCGATAAGCGGTCCGAATAAATTCTTCGGTTTCTGTCGTTAGCATCGCATAAGAGTAGCAGCAAACGATGTGGTAGACTGTCAGCGTCTCTCAAGATTGTACGCGTGCCAACACGAAAAACTTCACCGCGTGTTTAGACGAGCAGACTCGGAGCGGATTCTCACCGACGGACACTTTGCGTGACTTTTTAAGTTCTTATTTTCGTTATTTTTTTCGATTTATAGTTTGTTTTAGATTTTATTATTACGTCAAACCTACTAAAGTAGATATCCGAGTGAGATTCTTATTATTATTTTTCGACATCTTTTAATATCTCCCGTCAGCTTTAAATTTCATGTAAATTGCACGTTCTACGAGAGAAACACATATATAGATTCTTTTTCCATGCATCTTTCCGTGGAAAGGACGATTTTATTGAAGTATCTAAAAATTTAGCTAAGTATACAGATCTGAAAATAATTTTCTTTGGATCGTTAAAATAATTATGTAGAATGCTCTAGCGTTTATGATAATATTGCAAAAATTTTTAACATTCTAGCAATCAGTTTAAACATCCTATATAATTATTTTGTAACTGTATAGTTATTTTGATGAAAAATAAAATTATTTTGTCAAATTTGTCATGTTAAAAAATACAATACAATGTATATTCTATCGAAAGAGTAGAGAGAGAGAGAAGGGGGGGGGATAGAAAAATTCTTTTTTTCAATATCTTCGATTATTTTGAAAACATTTTTCTCTTTCTTTCCCCACAATTATAAATACATAAATCAATTCGTCCGGCCATGTCTGAAAAGTATGGGAGTGCGATTCGTAATGAAAGGAGACATTTTTTCCCAGTCGAGTTCATATACCACAACAATCATCTCGGCGAGTGCAGAGCTATTCGGGAAATTTCGTTTTTCTCTCTTTGGTCATTTTCGCGTGCGACGCACAGGGGATTGGGCGTGTGCGAATTATATTTTGCTGGCACTAGCATATATGAAAACGAGAGAGAGAGAGAGAGAGAGAGAGAGAAAGGGAGCGTGTATGTCAATATATACGCATGTATACATGTGGACCGCATCGATCGTTACGACGCGCGACGGGAGAAAGAAAAGGTCAGAATCGAACCGGCGTATTGCAATTGCTTTTACTTATGCATACTCGAGCTATATATTCTGCGTACTCGACCCGAATTCACGTTTGGGTCGTCAACATAAGTAATATTGGCTTTTTCCTTTCTTTTTTTTTCACAAAGAAGAATTTTTTTATTCGTTCCTTTAATCTTTTGCTATTTGCGTTTATCAATTTCATTGGTCTTTCTTGAAGCAAACGCCAATTTTAACTAACAAATTACTGCCATCAGTGGTTGAAATCCAGCTGTCCGGATAGCGTTTGTGCGCGTTCAACAAGCAGAACGAAATCGCGTGGTGCACGCCGATAGATCAAAGCGAAATAAATTCTTCGTTAAAAAACATTTACATACACTATCGAGATATTAATGCACGCGTGAAAGTGGCGCCTCTCGGTAAAATTACGACGTGTCGTATGGCGGTTAAAATGAGCGCAAAGAGAGTTAACGTGCCTGCTTGTAAGCTGCTCGCGTTTATGCCACCTTTTAATGCCACGGCGTTGGTTCGACAAGCCAATCGGACACTCTTGCACGCAGTGCCACTTTTATTTTATGAATCGTGCCGACGGCGATTTCGAATGAGGAGCGTAAAAAAAAAAAAACGGGCGTTTTTTTTTTTCACCGTGGCGATGTAACCGAAGCGCCATTACGCCACGGCTATCGGCCACCAAAGATTGCAAACCCCGCGCAATCTCTTTGCCCGAAACGAATCACCGGTGATCGTTTTTGCAGTAAACGCGTTGTTTAATTGTAAACCGGAGGTTGCGGTTAAACGCGTCCGTCGGGGAAAATTGTGGGAAAATACGGTCAACGCGGCGCGTTAAGCTCAAGGACCACAGCGCGAATTTTGCCCCAAAAAATATGTATTTCAAAGAAATCTATCGATAGTTAAAAGAAATACTTCAATTAAATATAACGAGTTATCGAAACGAAGAACAAAGCTCTTTTAATTTTCAGCAATTTTGCGTACTAAAATTAAAAGGAAAAAATATATATGAATTTCTCTCGGAAATATCGCGACCTTTCTTTCATCTAGCACGCGATCACGATGAGCGGCTTCACAAACTGCAGTTGTAATGATTGTACACATTGTGAGTCACACGGTGCTTATGCGTTTTAACGCGTGCGTTCCACGACGACAGGTGCGTGTACAAGACGCTTTTAAACACGATCGCGTAAAGTTGACAAGAGTAAACGAGGCATGAAACATCGCAAAGACAGCGGTCCAAATTTCAGTGTTACAATCCTTTCGAATCGTGTCCGCCTTTGGCACAATTTCACTTCCTCCCTTCATTTTAGTCTCGATCGCGCTTGACTAACGATGTATAATATTTCAAAATTAAACGAAATTTTCTACAAAAGATTTCAAATTATACAAAATTTAATTCTTCGATTTGAATTGCTCTAAACGAAAATTTAATTGAGTCACTTTTGCTATTTTGATGTGGAGAATTAGATGTTTTGTGATAGCTGTCCTAAATTCTATTTTTTTTAAATCTAACACTTGTTAAATTTTAATTGGAAACTTAATTTGTTAGAAAATTCTTCTTATTTATAATTTAAATTTGATGAATGATTGTACATGTGCGTTAAAAATTGATTCCGGTCTCGATCATTGCACAACTATTCTATTTTTGTATGCAACATACTTCTATATTCTTAAACTTGCTACTCAGTCACATACCTGCTCTTTTTGTTTCGTACTACTTTCTTGTAAGACACACGTTGTTATCTATTTTTCTTTCATTTTTCTTTATAAGTTTTTCTTTATATATTTTTCTTTGCATTTACTATTTATTGTATATACTTATATATCAAATATAATATCTTGAGGT